TTACAATATTGTTTTATTTGGAAGAGAGTCTATCTGTCCGTTTTTGTAAGCATTAAACATAAATTTGGAAATATAAATGTTTAAACATATAAAATAACTTTTACATTTGTCTGTACATCATTGTTAATTAGGCTGTCAGTGAATTATAGGTCTACTACATTTTGATTATTTAATTTTTTTTAGATGTGGTTGCATTTTTTTCTCGGCTTTAACTTCATCTGCAAGTTGCATAGTTGGTCAAATGGTAATTTCCCAGAGGTGTGTGATTCAATGAGACCACTGCATGGCAATGGTTATACAGAGACTCCTCCTCTGACATCTGAACCCCCCTTTACGGTTAGCTACCAGCTCGGCACTAATGTTGGAGACCCAGTAACAGGTAAACAAAGATTGCTGAGTGTTTTGAGAGTGTGTTTTGTATGCATAGTTTTGTATCATATATTGATTATACAGAGTTAAGCATATAGTTAATGTTTCACTCACCTTGATATCAGTTTTTATCCAAAAGTTTCAAAATATTTTATTTGAAATATACCTGATAACCATGACCAATACCAGATAATACAAAATTGCACAGTGAAAGGAAAACAATACTTGATGTAGTTTCTTTTTAAAAATAAGACATGTCTGTATTTAAGACATGTCTGTATTTAGCCAGTCATTAGCAAACAACTTTTAAAGTCTTTGAGGGTATTTTGTTATCATCACTTTTAGAATAAATAAAGTGTAATTATTGATTAAATTTAATTTAATCTATTCGTAGCCAAGAATTTTACGCAAAAGGAATGATACTTTATCATAGTTTTACTCAATAAAAAATGAAAATGATTATGCTGTAAAGCTACTCCTAAAAGTACTTTTTTTTTTAAAGTTACTCAAGAAAATGTAACTGAGTAAATGTAACTAGTTACTACCCATTTCAGCCTACAGACATTATAGAAGGTTGTTGTTTCAATGTAACAAAATTCAAGGAATATGAATGTTTTTGCTCTGCACTGTACATCTTTCTTTAAATATTGACAATCTTTCCTCATTATTTCTGCATGATAAATCTGAATTCATAGTTTCCCTCGAGAGCAAAACAACAGACGCCAGATTTAGGGGATTTATGCTTGAAGCTCGTAGCCTGACTTTAGGTGGTGATGGCCCCCCACTTGGGAAATTTATCCTTCTTGAACCTACACAAACCCGACTCCTGAAATGTGGCACTTTAGTGGTAAGCTGGGCCAGGTCATACTGATACCTATATGATTCATCAACCATATCTTTGTTGGTCTACTTAAGGAAATGCTTCACCTTCAAGTGATAATTTTTTTTCTTTAATTTTTGTCACTCTCTTCAGGACTCAGCTGTGAGTAATAAACTCAATGTTAGGAAGAGTTTGATCAGGGTAAACTGGACCAGAGAGGGAGAGGAGGGAGACATCATGTTCAGGTAACCTTTACACAAATCTACTGTTTAGAGTAAAAGCTACAATGGTCAGTTACAATCCAATGCTGTGTCCTATAGGGCCACCTTTCTTCAAGAATTTCACAGCTACTGGGAACGTGTGAACAAAACACTACTTAGAACCACATCCACACAAAAACCAGAGCCAACAACTGTGATAACAACAGCTACACCCACAACCCAGATGTCTACAGCAGACCCTGGGACTACAACAGCTACAACCACAACCCAGATGTCTACAGCAGAACCGGGGACCAAAAAAAATCAAAACTCTGTAACAAAACAACCTCTACATCATTTCATAAGTAGAACCAGGATAAATTTGATTCTCAAACATTCTGCCTTTTTTTTTTTTTACTTTAGACCAAGGACCTAATCGTGG